GGTCTCCTGGAGGGAGCTGCACCCTGGCCCGGCGGTCCCGCCTTCTGGCGCTCGCACGTGGGAGCACACGCTCCCCGAGAAGTTAGCATTGCCTAGGGTTTTTATGACATTCACGCTCCCATCTATCTCCAGCCCGGGGCCGCCTGGGAGCCTTCTGGGCTTACAGGCTGCGTACACGTGCAGGCCCTAATCCAGATCGTGTAGTTTGTAAACCGTGTTTCTGTAAAATAAGTAGGGTGAGCCAAATGCATTCTGGCTCCAAACTAGGGTTTGAATGTGCCTTGGCATGTAACACGCCACGTCCTCCATCTTAAAGGAGCCCTGGTGGCTTACTGGTTCCATGTTGGGCTGCTATCCACAAGGTCAACAGTTTGAATCCACCCACCAGCTGCTCAGCGGGAGGGAAACGAGGTAGAGGCGTACAGCGTCAGAAACTCACCGGGAGCCATTCTGTTCTGTCGCTGTGAGTCAGAATTGACTCGATGGCAGTTTGGATTTGGTCCTCTGTTTCAAACGACCCTGGCCAGATCTAAATGAAAAGCACGTTGACATTCTTCATTTGAGCTGCCCCTCAATTTGTAAATGAGGGTCAGCAATGTAAATGAGAAATTGACAGTTGGGAAGACAGGCTCAGAGAGCAGAGACAAAATGATTTGTGTGAAATCACCTGACACAGAAGGTTCCTGATTGGGAACTCTGGACTCTTCTTGGTAGAGTTAGACCCTGGGGTGATTCATTCCAGAGCAGCTGCTCACTCATCAGCTAACTAGGGTTTTTAATCTGCTAGGAATCTTGGGTGGTTCTGTATTAACCTGGAATCTCATTTTGCTTGAAGTCGTAGGGGAGCTGGTAGGACACACCGAAAGGGTCTCTGGCTTCACATTTTCTCACCACCCGGGTCAATACAACCTCTGTGCCACCAGCTCAGATGACGGGACTGTGAAGATTTGGGATGTGGAGACAAAAGCAGTTGTGACAGAGCATGCACTGCATCAGGTACCGTGGCTTAGTGGTTTCCCAGATCATTTTTATATCTGTGCGGAGGGTTCTCAGTTTCAAGCCCAGTTTTGCCTACTCATTTGTACAAGGCAGATTTTGTCATTGTGTCCATTATTAGATCCAACATTCATTAAGGTAGGGTTAGAAGTCCTGGTGGTGAGATAATTAAGGGCCCAGCTGCTAACTAGCAGAAAAAAACAGGCTATCAGCATAGAAAACATATAGGACCGTTCTGTTAGGCTACCAATTCATCACAATACATAGATCGATTGTGTAAAGCACACCTATACATTTGTTGCCCTCATCATTCCCAAAATTCGCTTTCCTCTAGGGTTCCCGGAATCAGCTCATTTTCCTTTTTTCCCCTCCCCGAAGGTTGATGCTTTTACTACCACCGAGTCGATGTCATAGCGACCCTATGGGACAGGGCTTTAGTCTCCAAGTGAGTTTCCTAGACTGCCACTGTTTACGGCAGTTATAAGACCCATCTTTCTCCCGCGGAATGGCTGTTGGTTCCGAACTGAAGACCTTTGGGATTGCAGCCCAATGCATAACCACCGGGCCACCAGGGCTTCGCTGATGCTCTTATTCATCTCCAGCTTCACCACTAAGAAATTAGGTAATATTTCATCAGGCACTTCCTACTGTACATAAAACCCTGCAGGCAGGGCACATTCCTCACAACAATCCACACCATCGATTACCACTTCTCTTCAAATGAAGAAACTGATTTAGAATAGCTGTCTTCTCTTCAGGAGCGTTGGTATCAAAGTAGGGTAGCTGAGAAGACAATTTGAACCCACCAACCACTTTGCAGAATAAGGGTGAGGTAGTCTGCTTACATAAGGATTTACAGCCACAGCATCCCCATAAGTAAAAACCGCACTGTTATCGTGTCGATTCTGACTCCTAGCCACCTAATAATACAGTGTAAAATCACCCTTACGGGTTTTGTGACTGTAAATGTTGACGGGCATAGAAAGCCCATTTCTCCCACGGAGCAGCTGGTTTTGAACAGCTGACCTTGCAGTCCAAGAGAATCCCTGTTGAGCAGTTCTACTGTGCCCTAGAGGATTTCTATGTGTTGGAAATCACTCTATGGCAGTGACTTTGGTTTTGTGGTTTTTAGTTTCTCTCCACTAACTGACAAAACCTGTGGTCAATCCTAAACTGGATGTCTCCAAAGCTGGTGTCTGTATCTACATCTTAATAAACTCATGTATGTGTGTCCTCTCTATATTAAGGGTAGATTTTTCAGCTTCGTTTGCTGACATGCATGAATGCAAATTCCCAATGCCAACAAAGCAAGAGGAGTTAAAGTGAAGAATCACAGCATTTTGCTTGGTTGAGCCAGAAGTGATTTTTATTATTTTTTGCTTCCATGGTAATTCCCACATACAGCTCCCTTCTCAGAGTTCACTCGATCAAGTGTGAATCAAAAGAACTGCTCCATCCTGCTTCTCTTTAATCTTTGAGTACCAAAAACCCAAAGCCAGAATTTCCACACATTGCAAAACATTTTCCTTG